AGGCATCCAATATCCTGATGTAAATGCTCCATTTGAGTTAAAATCCGGTCTAATCCATTTATTGCCTAAGTTCAATGGTAGTGCAAGTGAGGATCCTCATAAGTATTTGAAGAAGTTTCACATAGTCTGCTCAACAATGAAGCCTGAAGGAGTTCCAGAAGACCACATCAAGTTGAAGGCCTTTCCATTCTCTATGGGTGGTGTAGCGAAAGATTGCCTATATTACCTGCAACCAGGGTCTGTCACTTGCTAGATAGACATGAAGAGGATGTTCTTGGAGAAGTTCTTCCCTGCTTCCTGTAACACCTTAAATATAATTTTAATAAATAAGGAATTTTGCAAATTTTTGAAATAATAAAATTTCCATTTTCAATTCAAGTTTCATCAGCCATCTCAAATAAAGAAAGGGTTACAAATTTCATCAAACAATTGCTACAGGACTTATTCAAGCACAATAGTTTTCGAAATAATATCCTAAGTCCTACAACAGTTCTATCCACCCCTTCACTGAGTCCGGTGCTGATCGTTTTGATTACCTGAAAAATGAATGTAAGGGTGAGTACTCTACACTAACTAAAAACACATAGTCAACATAGAGTCTCACCTCCATTACGTTTCCAATACATTAAACAAATACAATTACAGGCAGCATTATCACACAGTTCATGTCAATTTAACATAGATGCACTCACGACATCGGCAACATTTCACATCCATAAGTACGATACACAAACTCGTGCATACGCACACCAGCCACACTCACTGTGACACTGTGATCACATATTTCCACTATGAATGGTCACCAGTTACCCCGCCTCACGGATACCACATGGACAGTCACGGGTCACTCAACAAAGGTAATGGTCAGAGGTCTAGTCAGGAAGAGAGTGTGTGGCCCCTGGTGCACCCGTTCCACAGTCGATGTCACCACCACTCTCTCCTCCCCAAGGTATTTTTACCGTCCTCATCTCCCACACCCTCAGTGTATCGTTGAACCATTCACAGCACATAATAACGGCGCTACACGCCCCATTCACATACATTTTATTCACACACGCAATATCCGTGCTTGTACACGGCACACAGCCTATATTCAATTCACATTACATGGCACATAGCTCACATTTTATCCATAATCTACGACACATAGCCTTCATTTATCCACAATATCATTAATTCCCAATCAATGGCATTCCATGACACACAATCATTCCTACGGGCCTAACTATTCTAGCACACATCACATTGCACACCAATTTCTATCAAACACACAATTTCTACTCCCTATCTCAGCCACACATTAATCAACAAAACAAACAAGAATTACAACACATTGAGATAGGGTAGATCCCCCTTACCTCGGATCGAAGACCCACACGTTAAATCCACCAAGAAGTGCCTCCCCTCGCGGATTTCGTCGTAAATACATGGAGAAACTCCATGAAAATCCCAAAAATCACCAAAAACAGAGAAAAGAGAGGAAGAACGAAAACCCTAACCGTTTAAAACTCACTTCCAAGCGTTCCCCACACGGATTCCACCTTTAATCTAGCTTCCGAACAGCTTTGGAGGCAATTTAATTGGTGGAAAAGGGTTTGGGGTTGAGAGAATCGAAGGGATTTTGAGAAAATGAATTCCCAAACCCTAACCCCCTTTAAATCCTTTTCTGGTCGCGACACTCTCGCTACAGTGACACGCTCTCACGCTGCAACAAAAAACTCAGAGAAATTTGCACTCTAGTTTCTGCAGAATCTCGCTACAGCGAGATTGCACCCAAAAATGCACCTCAAACTGTCGCTCTGTCGCTACAGCGAGACGTCTCTCGCTACAGCGAGAAGGCGACAGTTTCGGTCCTTCCTCCCAGGGCCCTATCGCTGCAGCAAGGACAGCCCAGTATTACACCCTGCACTTAGACACTTAGCCTATTTTCAACCCTATCCAGTCATGCATACACATATATATACACACATCCACAACATACATATATATACACATATTTATACTCATTACACACAAAACACTATCATTATGCATTCAATGCAAATTTTTAACATCCATTTACACTTATACACACATATACACACATTCAGATTTATATAGATAACAATAATTAATATTACAAAACTCAGAGTGTCACGACCCCTTTTTATAAGGAATCGAGAACATTGTTTCTACATCACATACTTATTTAAGGTAAATAAATAATAGAGAATATAAGTATAAAATTCACTTCTCATTCAAAATAAAACAAAGTTTCTTACAACAAATATCTAATAAAACAACACAATATTACATTTAGTTCATAATATTCAAAATACCCAAAATTATACTACGTAGCTCCCTCTACATGAGGTCTCAAAATATAAGGAAAAAGGACTTAGATGCAATATTACTCGACTTCAGCTTCTAACATTTCTCCATTGGCCCCTCAGCCTGTGAAGTAGATGCAACACCTGCTACATCTGCTCACGTACCACCGTACGATCATCGTAGTACACACGCACACAACGACATAGAAAGAAATGCAAGGGTGAGCTTACCAAACATAAAATAAAATTATATATATAGAGCAAAATATTTCTCACAGCAAAGACCCCATGCATTTCCAGCCCATCTAATGCACAGTATGAAAACGGTTTCCAACTGGTTTCACAGCCTAAGTAATCCAGAAGGAACCGAGCCGGTCCGGGAGCGACCCATTCCGGTATCTGGATCTAGACAGCACAGCACAGCAGCTCAGCATGAACTTACCGTTACACGTCTACCGACCTAAACATGTAACTCGGCTCTATAATGATGCAAAACATATTTTTCAGCATGATGCACACCGCCAAAATTATTGTAACAGCTCAGCTAAGGCAAGTTTATAATAGATCAGCCAAAATCTCATCATTTTAAATCAATTAACAGCAGTTACAGCTTAGAAAATAGCTTTTATTCAAAAGATCTAACTAAATTCATATCAAAACATCTTGAAATAACATATTAAACCGTTCAAAACGTAGTTCTTATGTTAAAGTAAACTCCCCTTACCTCAGAACGATGATTCACACTAGATCTACCGAATATTACTTGTTTTATAGCAAGATTCACTGAAGATTCAGCTTTAGAACGAAGTTTCTCCTAAGAACACCATGAACTTCTATGAGAAAAAGAAGGAGAAGAGAAACGAACGGTAAATCTAGCTTCAAACTTAAAAAAACTTACTTCAAATCCTTCAGAATAGACGTAGAATCTCATATCTGGCGAGAAATCTAAGTTTATGAGGGTTTATTATGGGAGAAAATGGTAGTATATGGCCTTAGAACCTTTGAGAACCTTGGATATGAGTAAAGGAATGAAAATTTCGTGTGAAGCCCCTTTTTTATAGAAATTTTTCAAATTTCACTGTTCATTGCCGGAAACACTGTTCACCGCCTTACTGTTCACACCGGAAACACTGTTCAGGGCACTATTCACGCCAAAAAATACTGTGCACGCGTACTGTACATGCACTGTACACGTATGTGATGTTAGCCATGACATCATGATGATGTCACTGATGACGTCAGCAGTCACTGTACATACGCAGTTTTTACTGTTCATACACGGTTTGTACGCGGTTTGCACTGTTCATAGGCAGTTTTACTGTTCATACGGTACTGTTCACTTTTTTTTTTTTAAACTCCATCTAAATCTATTCCAATACCAATTAATCCTTCAATTAACAAGTATAAAATATTATAAATTACTCAATAATAAATCACAAGCCTAACACGGAGTGTTACACTTCCTTAGCAGCCACAATAAGAAAAGAGATCAGTGGCATCAAACAGTTCAGCCAAGAAAGCCTCTATGAGTATTGGAGAGATTCAAGAAGTTATGCGCAACCTGTCCACACCATTAGATCAGTGACCAGTTGCTTATTCAGTACTTCTATGAAGGCCTTGCTCCAATGGAGAGGAGTATGCTTGATACAGCAAGCGGTGGAGCTTTCATGGACAAGACACCATCTGCAGCCAGAGCACTAATGACAAATGCAGAAACTCAGAAATAAAAAGAGCATAGAAATGAAGAGGAAATGCAAAAAAAAAAAAATTACAGATGAAGCAGAATGAGAGCTTACTACTTCGTGAGACAGCTAGTGTGCAACAAATGTCACAAGATAACTAGAGACTGTCATATTGTTCCATAGAGTACACTCAGATTGTCCTTGCTGCATGATGGTAGCCACAAGTTTCAGTCCACGGAGTTTTAGTGGAAGACAAGACAATACAGAGCTTCAAATTTCCAATAACCTCAAAGACAACAACAGTCATATAGGTTCCAGTACCAATCTCATAATTTTGCCTTCAATGATCATCCAAATATGAGATATGGTACCTAGCCAAGTAAGTAATGGCTATAGACCACCCCCTATGAGGCAGCAGCAAACACAACAAAGTTCTGAACCTTCTTTAGAAGATTTGGTCAAACAAATGGCAAAGAGCAATTTACAATTCCAGTAGAATGTCAATGCCTTAATTCAAGACCTGCAAACACAGGTTGGCTAACTTGCTACCACTGTAAACCAGTTCAAGTCTCAAGGTTCTGAACAACTCCCTTCTCAACCAGTGGTTAATCCCAAAAACATGAGTGCCATAATATTGAGGAAAGAGAAGGAGTTGTCTGGAAACCAGAAAGATGAAGAGGTACAAGATGATGTGGAGGCAGAGAAGCAGTAAAACATAGAGCAACAAATTGCCCCTAGTAGTTCAGAAATTATGCAGAAACCACCCCTTCCCTTTCTGAACAAAATGGCCAAGCCAAGGCCACCAACAGATATTGATAAGGAGTTTTTTGAGACATTCAGAAGAGTAGAAGTGAACATTCCAGTGCTAGATGCGATAAAACAAATTCCAAAATATGCAAAGTTCCTTAAAGAGTTGTGCACTAACAAGAGGAGACTGAAAGGGGATGAAAGAGTCAGCATAGGGAGGAAAATATCAGCCCTTATACAGCCCAATATGCCATAGAAGTGCATGGATCTTGGCACTTTTACTGTCCCTTGCACTATTAGAAATTCCACCATCAGCAATGCGTTACTTGATCTTGGTGCTTCTATAAATGTGATGCCTACATTAATCTACAAGTCTTTGAGCCTTGGCCCTCTAAAGCAAACTAGTGTAGTCATTCAATTGGCAAATAGGAGCACTGTATTCCCTGCTGGAGTAGTAGAAGACATACTAGTGAGAGTGGATAAACTGATATTCCCTGCAGATTTCTGTATTCTGGGCATGGCAGAAGAGTCCAGCATACCTACACTGATCCTTGGTAGACCTTTCCTGAAAACAACAAGAACAAAGATTGATGCGCACTCAGGAATTCTATCCATGGTGTTTGGAGACGATATTGTGCAATTCAACATCTTTGAGGCCATGAAGTATCCATCAGAGCTGCATAGTGCATTTCATATAGATATTATTGATGTTTTAACTGAGGAGTTTTGTACTAAATTTTCTGATATTTCTAGTTGTACATGCACTATAGGAGATTTGTGTAAAATTTGTGCTGAAATAGATGCATATTTAATAGCTGATGATGTTTGATGTGATGTAACAGCAGGTTTGGAAAGCTCTAGCTTGATGCATGCTGCAGAATTAGACTTCTCCACGAAGACACTTCCCTCTATTATGCAACCAGCTGTACTTGAACTGAAGCCTCTACCCAAGCACTTGAAGTATGCATTTTTAGAGGGTGATAACAAGCTGCCAATGGTAATTTCAGCAAATTTGGATGTTGCACAAGAGGAGAAGTTGTTGCAAACTTTAGCAACCCACAAGCAAGTAATTGGGTAGACTTTGGCAGACATTCCAGAAATTAGCCCATCCACTTGTATGCCACAGAATTCTGCTAGATGAAGATGCAAAACCTATGAGACAGCCCCAAAGAAGGTTGAATCCCACCCTCCTGGAGGTAGTAAAGAAAGAAGTTGGTAAATTGTTAGTTGCTGGAATGATATACTCGATCTCCGATAGTGAGTGGGTGAATCTGATCCATGTTGTACCTAAGAAGACTGGCATACCAGTCACAAAGAACCAATTTGATGAGCTGATTCCAACCAGAATTCATAATGGGTGGCGAATCTGTATTGATTATAGGAAGCTGAATCACCCCACTCACAAGGACCATTTTCCCTGCCTTTTATTGATCAGGTCTTGGAGCAGATAGCAGGAAAATCCCATTACTACTTTCTAGAGGGATTTTCTAGTTACTTTCAAATACATATAGCCCCAGAGGATCAGCATAAGACTACCTTCACTTGTCCTTTTGGTACCTTTGCTTACAGACGAATGTCATTCAGACTGTGTAATGCACCCAACACTTTTCAGAGGTGTATGATAAGCATGTTTGCAGACTTTCTAAAGACCTCACTTGAAGTATTCATGGATGACTTTACTGTTTATGGGTCTTCATTTGATGCATGTTTATATAGCTTGTCTAGAGTATTAGATAGGTGCATATAGTTCAATTTAGTTTTAAATTAGAGAAATGTCATGTTATGGTGACCGAAGGGATTGTACTAGGGCATGTAATGTCAAGTAGGGGTATTGAGACTGATAGAACCAAGATTGATGTAATTGTTTATTTACGTTACCCTACTTATGTGAAAGAAGTGCGCTCTTTTCTTGGCCATGCAAGTTTCTATAGGCGCTTCATCAAGGATTTCAGCAGAATCGCATCCCCATTATCTACCCTTTTGCAGAAAGATACTGATTTTATCTTTGATCAGACCTGCAAGGACACTTTTGATGAGCTGAAGAGGAGCCTCACTTCTACTCCAATCATTCAACCTCTGAGTTGGGAGATTCCATTCGAGCTTATGTGTGATGCTTCAAACTTTGTAGTTGGTGTTGTCCTTGGTCACAAAGTGGAGAAGCAACCCCATGTCATAGCCTATGCTTCTTAGACATTGGATAAAGCACAAGCCAACTACATCACTACAGAAAAAGAACTTTTAGCCATTGTTTTTGCTTTAGATAAATTTCGTTCATATTTACTTGGCTCTAAAGTAATTGTTTTCTCTGATCATGCAGCTCTGAGGTACTTGCTTAAAAAGTCAGATTCTAAACTGAGACTAATTCGCTGGATGCTTCGTTTGCAAGAGTTTGACATTGAGATCAAAGATAAATGTGGTGCAGAAAACCTAGTGGCAGACCATTTGAGCAAAACTCAGCAGCCACTAGAGGATCTCCCCATTAGAGACACCTTTCCAGATGAGCAACTTTACCAAATTGGAGGGCATGATCCTTAGTATGCAGACTTGGTGAATTATTTGGCTGCCAAAGAGAGGGAATTTCTCACTGTAACAAGCAACCCCTGGAGCAAAGGGGCAAAATTGTCGCCTTCTCGCTGCAGTGATACACTCGGGGTGTGGAAGATAAGGACGGTAGAAATACCTCGGGGAAGAGGGAGTGGTGGTGACACCGACTGTGGAACGGGTGCACCACGGGTCACACATTCTCTTCCTGACTAGACCTCTGACCACTATCTTTGCTGAGCGACCCGTGACTGCCCACGTGGTATCTGTGAGGGGGGTAACCGGCGACCATTCATGGTGTAAATCTGTGATCACAGTGCCACAGTGAGTGTGGCTGGCGTGCATGTGCACGGGATTGTTATTAATTGTAACTTTGAAGGTGAAGCGTTGTTGGTGTCGTGAGTGCATCGATGTTAAATTAAAATGCACTGGATAATGATGTTGTTTGTGTAATATCTGTATAAATGTATTGGGAATGAGTTAGAGGTGAGACTCTATGTTTGATTGTGTTTTGGTAGTGTAAAGTACTTACCTTTACATGCATTTTTTAGGTAATCAAGACGATCAGCATCAGGCTCAGTGAAGGGATAGATGAACTGCTATAAGACTTGGAAAATTAATTTGAAAAACGTTGTAAATGAACTAGTTCTGTAGCAGTGATGTGATGTGAAACTTGTAACCCTTTTCTTATTTTGAAATGCTTTATGAAACTTTTATTATTCTGAATTTGCAAAATTACTGCTTATTGAAACTAAAATTAAGGTGTTACAATTTTGGTATCAGAGCAGTTCATCCAAACCGAACTGAGGTAACAGGCTAAGGCGACCAAGTTAAGTTGATCTAATATGCTAGAATGTGATTGCTGACTTGTAGTTAGATTGAATATGTCTGGTAGAGGTAGAGGAACTAGAGACACCAACTATCCAATGGAGCACATAGCTCAAATGCTGGAGCCTTAGTGCACAATCAAGGTGGAAAGCCGGCTCAGTACCGAGGGTTGTCTGCCTTCACTAGGCACGATCCTCCGAAGTCTGAAGGAGGGTTTAATCTCGAAGGAGCCCAAAGGTGGGTGGTGAATGTAAAGAAATTTTTCAATGCGATGGGATGCTGTGAGAAACACAAAGTAGCCTATGCCACTTACCTGCTATGTGGAGAAGCGAAAGACTGGTGGAGGTTTACCGGTCAGACATTGCCACAAGAAGGTGGCTACATTCAATGGGAGACCTTTAAGGCAATTTTCCTAGGAAATTACTTTCCCCGGGATCTGAAAAAGCAGAAGGCCCGAGAGTTCCTTGAACTGAAGCAAGGAAACATGACCGTGGGAGAGTATGCAGCTAAGTTCCAAGAGCTGATGAAGTACTGGCCTCATTATCAACATGATGATGGAGAGGAGGATCTGTGTGCTCAATTTGAGCATGGATTGAGGCCAGACATCCGGGCTGTAGTCAGTGTGTTTCAACTGACAGACTTGCCCACTCTAGTGAGCAAGAGCAGAATTTTTGAAGACAACTCAAGGGGGAAGACAGTAGATGCTAGGGGAGTTGGCCCGGTGAGACATGATAGAAGACCCCCTAGGTTTTCAAAGGGGTCGTATTCAGACTCGAATAGTTCTCAATCCCGAGGGAGTTATTTTTCAAGAGAAGAGCAGTGGGAGTGGCTCGAGATCGGGTTCTTTCAAAGGACCGCTCAAGTGCTTCAGGTGTGGAGGGCCACACATGGTGAAGGGCTGCCCACCGTCGTGGGTCACTTACAGTAACTGTGGGAAGTTGGGGCACATTGCCAACGAGTGCTGGGCCGCTAAGAGAAACAGTAGTACAAGTACAGCCCAGATGCCTGAATCGAGAGGAAGCGCGGGACTGAGTACGGGGCAGAAGCTGAGTATTCCTGGGAGAGTCTTTGCTATAAGCAGGGCAGAGACTTCGCGGTTAGAGGAGCTGATCCGAGGTAAATGCATTATTAGTGCTACACACTCCTTTATATCTGTGGACTGTGTGAAGAGTCTGAATTTGTATGTGACAGAATTGCCATGTAATGTTGTGGTGACTACCCCTACTGGTAAGCCGATTGTGACGTCATGGGTGTGTTTGGGATGTGCAATGATGGTACACGGTAGAGAGTCTAAGGTGGACTTAATTTGTTTACCTCTTTCGCAATTGGATGTAATTCTTGGAATGGATTGGCTTGCTGTCAACCATGTACTGCTGGACTGTAGGGAGAAGACTTTGATCTTCGGTGTGACAATGGCAGAGGTTCCAAGGCTTATGAGCTAGGGAGCGTGAGAGAACATGGTAAATGTCAAGGCTTTCATGGTTATGTTTTCAATGGAAGCCGAAAGTGCGGTGGAGCAAGAGTATATTCCAGTGGTAAGGGATTTCTTAGAGGTTTTCCCTGAAAATGTTTCTGAGCTACCGCCTGAGAGGGAAATAGAGTTTACTATTGACCTCGTTCCGAGGGCAAGTCCAATTTCTGTGGCACCTTACAGGATGTCACCAGTGGAGTTGGCGAACGTCAAGAAGCAAGTAGAAGATTTGTTACAGAAACGGTTTGTGAGATCGAGTGTGTCATCGTGGGGAGCACCTGTGCTCTTGGTGAAAAAGAAAGATGAAAGCATGAGGATGTGTGTGGATTATCGGCAGTTGAACAAGGTAATGATCAAGAACAAGTATCCGCTTCCAAGGATTGACGATTTGATGGATCAGTTGAGGGGAGCCGCAGTGTTCTCGAAGATCGATTTGAGATCAGGATACCATCAAATCCGAGTGAAAAATAAGAATGTGCCTCAAACGGCATTCAGGATGCGGTATAGTCACTATGAGTATTTGATGATGCCGTTTGGGGTGACCAATGTGCCTACGGTGTTCATGGACTACATGAACAGGATCTTCCATGAGTTTTTGGATAAGTTTATGGTGGTGTTCATTGACGACATCCTAATTTATTCAAAGACTCAGGAAGAGCATGACGAGCACTTGGGAATTGTCCTAAAAATTCTAAGGGAGAGGTAGCTGTATGCGAAATTCTCCAAGTGTGAGTTCTGGTTGTCGGAGATCCAATTTCTGGGACATGTAGTGTCGAAGGAAGGAATCATGGTAGACCCTGCAAAAGTGGAAGAACTGGCTGAGTGGGTGAGGCTGACGAATGTGACAGAAGTGCATAGTTTCCTCGGATTGGCGGGCTATTATAGGAAATTCATTGAGGAATTTTCTAAGATAGTGTTACCCTTAACGAAGCTAACCCGCAAGGGAAAGGAGTTTAAGTAGACCAAGGGATGTGAAGCTAGTTTCTTAAAGCTGAAGATAAGGCTGACTTCGACACCGGTGTTAGCACTGCCCAACCCGGAGCTTAAGTTTGATGTGTATTGTGATGCGTCCGAGCATGGACTTGGGTGTGTTCTGATGCAAGACAGACGAGTGGTTGCCTGTGTCTCAAGACAGTTGTGCCCACATGAAGTCAACTATCTGACTCACGATCTAGAGTTGGCCGCAGTAGTTTTGCTCTTAAGGTATGGAGGCATTACCTATATGGGGCAAGGTTCGAGGTGTTCAGTGACCACAAAAGTTTGAAATACCTGTTTGACCAGAGGGAACTGAATATGCGGCAAAGGAGATGGATGAAATTCCTCAAGGACTATAATTTCACAATGTCTTACCACCCTAGTAAGGCAAATGTGGTGGCCGACGCTCTGAGCCAGAAATCATTGCATGTGGCAGCGATGATGGTGAAAGAGATGGAGTTGATTGAGAAATTTTGGGACATGAATTTGGCCATGGATATGAGGCTGGGGAGTTTATATCTCAGAGCGACGACTATTCACAATGACTTTTTGGTGTACGCACGAGATGGTTAGCAGGGAGATATCTTCCTACAAGACATGATGAGACAGAAAGGTGAGGGAAAGGACTTAGAGTTCCACCATGATGAGAACGAGGTGATTAAGTTCTGGAACCGAGTGTGCATTCCTCAATGGATGAGCTCGAACAGATGGTGCTCGAGGAAGCGCATAAGAGCAGGATAAGTTTTCACCCTGGTACAACTAAAATGTATCAGAACCTCCGGAAGAGTTTTTGGTAGAATGGTATGAAGAGAGACGTGGCTGAATATGTGGCTAAATGCCTATCTTGCCAGAAGGCAAAGGTAGAGCACCAGCGTTCACCTGGGTTGTTACAGCCATTGGAGATCCCTAAGTGGAAATGGGATAGTACTTTC